TTATAGCTTTCTCTTGCTTTTGCAATTGCTTCTTCTATGATTGGCCACAATTGTCTTATTCTGTCCCCCCATTCATCAACTGATTTAACTCCTGTCTTTTCATGAGGCAGTTCAGGTATAGGTACAAAGTCTTGTCCTGATACAATTTTGAAAGGGGACAGACCTGTACTATCACGTACAGCATTATTGTAAGCCACTTCTGCATAAGATAATAAGTCCACCCAATTGTCCTGTTGATATCTTTGTAAAGCATCTTAGATACTGTTCCAACCCTGCATGCCTCCTCTCCGTCGCTCTGTCTGTCTGGGGATGAAAAGAAGAGCTATTGCTTGTTTGGATCCCAACAGTTTTAAAAATGCCCTCCAGAATTTTGAAGCAAACTGGACTCCTTTGTCGCTGATCACTCTTTCAGGACAACCGGGCAATTTGTATATATGTTGAATAAACAATTCAGCCAGTTCAGGTGCTGAGGGGATGGCTTTACAAGGGATGAAGTGTGTTTCTTTGGAACACACTTCACAGTCACAGTCCAAATTACAATCTTTTTTCTTCTCTCTGGCAGATCCACAATAAAGTCCATTGCAATCTCCTTCCAAGGTCTGGAAGGGCTTGGTTCTGGGCCGAAAAAAACTCGGGGGCTCCCCCCCCCCCCCCCGCCTTTTGGCCATAGCACAGACAGGACAGGTGTTTACATAGTCAGCAACGTCTTTTGTTAATGAGGGCCACCAAAACTGCCTGTGTAGTAGATGTAACGTTTTGACAAATCCAGAATGCCCTGCTGTTTTATCATCATGGGCTCTTTGTAGTGCCTGCTTACGAGCCTCTTGAGGTACGTAGAGTCTATCTGCTTTCCACCATGCTCCCTCCTTCTGGGTTAGTAATTTTTTATTTTTCTGGAACCATTCATCCTTTTCCAGGAAACTATTTAAGTCTTTAAGTAACTCTGACTCAGTGAGAGGCTTTGTAGCTTTACTCTGTGATCTGGTGACCATTGCTGCCATCTCTGACTCCCTCCGTGTGGGGATTACAGCTGATATCACTTTTTCTCTCTGGCTATTGTGTTGAGGCAGTCTCGAAAGAGCATCTGCCAAAAAATTCTTTCCCCCAGGGAGGTACTTCAAGGTGAAATTAAATCGACTGAAAAATTGTGCCCATCTTATTTGTTTAGGAGACAATTTCTTGGGTGATTTTAAAGCCTCTAAGTTCTTATGATCTGTCCAAACTTCAAGTGGCTTTTCTGCCCCTTTTAGCAGATTTGCTAAAATCTCCAATTTGTTAAAGCCCATTTTACAGCGAAAGCCTCCTTTTCCCACACCAACCACCTCCTCTCAATTTCAGAAAATTTTCTGGATAAGTAAGCACAAGGTCTTAATACGTCTCCATCATCCTTTTGTAGCAGGACTGCCCCAATGGCCACATCTGAAGCATCTGCCTGAATTATAAAAGGCATTGTAGGATCCAGGTGCTTCCGAATGGGTTCAGCCATAAATAACACTTTGAGGCTTTCAAAAGCCTTCTGACATTCTTTTGTCCAATTTAAGGTA